TCCATTGAAAAAGTCATATAATCCACAACGATAAATCCACAACGAATGGAGGTGTTGATTGATCAGCATACAGAGGGGTTCCCTTGATTGAACTGAAGATGCGGCCACTGGATGCAGGTTGGAGACCAACGTCAGGATTGCAGGTCTCCTCCAGCGAAGGTCGTCGCTGGGTGACGTCCAGTCGGTGCCGTTCTGGTTCTATGTGTCATGCAATTAAGTGGTTTAAGGTGGGCTTATGAAGGGGATTTTACATAAGGCCTTAACCTATATGCACCTGGTGTGTAAGCTATTATGGTTGGGAACAGCTACAGCTACCAGTTAAGGGGTGGAACATGCTGAAAAGGGTAGTTATAGGGGTCTATACCTATAGAAGGGTGTTCCAACTATACCACCATCGCTAACTTTGTCTATGTTAGACTTACATGGCCCCTATAGTTGGTTTACTTGTCTGTTGCCTTTTAGACGAACGACTTGAGATTGGGTGTTTGGTTTCCCCATAAATGTTTTTGGAGTCTGTGGCGAGACTCATCAAAAAGAATTAGCTATCCCCCTGAATAGTCAAGTCAAGTCAAGTCATCTTTATTTGTAGAGCACAATTTAAAACGGATAAACTGTTATCAGTGAATAGAATTGTTTGAGTAGGTTCGGCTTGAAGATGGTGAGACCAATGTAAGTTATGGTACTTAAGGTAGCATTGACTACATTGACTCTTCAACGATTAGGTTTTAACAAATGAACTGCATGTTGGCATAGTTAAAGGCCTCTTAGTCTCTAACTTAACTACACACAAAATTCATTCTTGCTTGGGGTGTTCAGAAACAATACCAAAAACCAATTAAACGATGTCTCAACATCGACAAAAACAGTGACTAAGCAACCAGTAAAACAACGTTTCAACATTGACAAAAGTAGTGATTAAGCAACTAGAAAACGACGTTTCGGTGCGTCACTCACCCTGGTTGTCAGATTCAATCACGCTGTCCCGTAGGAGTTGTTTCTTTGCGCACCTTGTGTGGTTTAACCTGGTTTTGATGTACCCATTTAACAATTGGCTCATCGACTCTGGACTATGGATGTATAGTTTATGGAGCAGCAACAAAATCTAAACTTCAAAAATTAGATAGACTACAATCCAGAGCACTACGGGTGTGCACGGGAGCGATTAAAACGACACCCATAAACGCAATTCTTGTAGAAACTGGGGAAACGCCATTAGAAATGAGAAGAATAAAACTGTCACTATCATACTGGATCAAACTTAAAGGAAACAAAGAAGGAAATCCAGCAGCTATGACAATACAGAACGAAGAGGATTTGGACGGAAAATAAATAAATTAGCAGAAATGTATGGGATAGAAAATATAGAATTTGCTAGGAGTAATCCAAAAAGTGTTATATCACCCTGGCTAATCCCTGAAAGTAAAGTGGACAAAAAATTACTAGAATGGAAAAAAGAATGGAAAGGTAATGAAATAGGGGTGAAATCTAGCAGATATATTAAAGAAACATATTACAATTACTTAGAAATCTATACAGATGGATCACAAAACGATCAGGGAAGGGTGGGAATAGGAGTCTTCATACCAGAATTTGAAGTATGTATTATCAAAAGAATTTCAGATCACCTGTCAGTGTTCACGGCTGAGATGGTGGCAGTTATTTTTAGTTTGGAATGGATTGAGGAGGTTAGACCAGATAGAGTGGCAATATTCACAGATTCAAAAGCGGTAATAGAAAGTATAAAGTCAAACGGAAACAATAGGAAAGACCTCATTTTAGAAACTCAACATGCATTATTTAGGTTGCACAGAGGAGGAATAGATGTGCATTTTTGTTGGGTGCCAGCACATGAAGGGGTGGAAGGGAATGAAAGGGCGGATGATCTTGCCAAGGCAGCGTTGAAGAGAGAAATAACAGCTAATATTCCATTAGGGAAAGGAGAGGGTAAATCAATTATTAAAAGACAAGAACTAAATAAATGGCAAAAGAGATGGAATGAGGACAAGAAAGGAAGAAAATTATTCAGGATCCAAAAATCAGTTAAAATAACAATGTTTAGAGAAAGAAGTAGAAGAGAGGAGGTGATACTTATGAGATTGAGGGTGGGACACACATTACTTAATGACACAATGTTCATAATGGGTAAAAGGAATGACAATAGATGCGAGGAATGTGGGGAAACAGAAAGTGTGGAACATGTATTGATGGAATGCATTAAATATATGGAAGAAAGGGAGAGACTGAAAAGAAAAGTCAAAGAGAAAGGGAGAGCTTGGAGTTTAGGAGGAATTTTAGGAAATGAAGGGGAGAAGGATAAGATAAAAGATGTCAGAAAAGCGTTGGTTACATATTTGAAAAACATTAACATAAAAAGCAGAATTTAGGGACAGAGGTCATGAGTTGCACACTCTAGCTCAGTAGGTGGTGGTATGCACCTGAAAGTTGTTTGCCAACCGCCAATAAATTAAAAGAAGAAGAAGAAGAAGCCCCAATCTGGCCCCAGCCCTTCTCTGAAAACATTCTGGGTCCGCCCCTGTACGTGATGACCTGAACTGTCATGGCGGCTCACGTCTGTGCAGTGGTCTCAAGCCAGTGGCTGGAAAACGCTGTCAAAACTAATGTCGTCGGTGCAAAACTTCGAGTTCTGGACTGCTCCTTCTTCCATCCTGGAGCTAAGCGGAACCCCAGAGCAGAGTTCGCTCAGAAACACATCCCGGGCGCCTCGTTTTTCGACATAGATGAATGCTGCGATAGAAGCTCCAAGTTTGACCACATGCTGCCGAGCTCCGACTTCTTCTCTCAGGTCGTCGGAGATCTCGGTATCGGCAACGACACGCACGTCGTCGTGTACGACACCAGCGACTCGGGCTCGTTCAGCGCCCCCCGGGTGTGGTGGATGTTCCGGGTGTTCGGCCACGACTCGGTGTCGGTGCTGGACGGAGGCATGAAGAACTGGGAGGCTGACGGACACCCGGTGAGCTCCCAGTACAAGAAGCCGGAGAGCAGAGAGTTCCGAGCGACCTTGAACGCATCATGGGTGAAGAGCTACGAAGACGTCCTGGAGAACATCAAGACCAAGAAGGTCCAGGTGGTGGACGGCAGGTCCGCTGGCAGGTTCAAGGGTACTGATCCAGAACCCAGAGAGGGTGAGCAGAACTACTGTGGAAACCAGATGTTGACATACTCGGTATAAAAAGACAACTGTCTGACATTAAAATAGACTAAACCTGTTATTTTTAGGTCAGTTAGGATTAAAAATAATATTTATATTTGCTAAATGCACAAATAACGACAGAAAATTATATTTTCCTTTTTAAAAAATATATATTTTATTTAATCTAGTTTCTATTTATTTATAAGTCTGAATGAGTTCCCATGGCTGTTGTCATGCTGCCAGATGAACCTTGGATCAGAAAACGTTGCCCTGATCTAAAACAGAAAACTTTTAAACTCTGAACAGTTCTGGTGACCTTCAACCAGGACATATTGATTGGTCTTCATGTTGTTTGACCAACAACATGAATGTCAGCCAACAGCAAGACCTACTGTTGCAAATCACTCCTGACATGTGTTTCCATCCACCACCTGCATGCTTTTCTTTTCCTCCTTTGTGATCTGTTGTTGGACCCTGGTACTAAAACTTATCCAACCTCAGTACCTCTGAACCCTCACTCTTATACCTCTCTCCCTCATGTTCACACACAAATATTCGGTCTCGCTTCTGTCGACCTTCATTCCTCTTCTCTCCAGAGCATACCTCCACCGCTCCAGGCTCTTTTTTTATCTGTTCATTTCTGAACTTGGAGGAGGGATTTTGGAGTCAGAAGGCTTTAATATAAAGAAGTTATTCTCCCAAGCATAGAGACATCTTCAACATCTTTTTCTGGCAAAACGTTGCACCAGGACTGTTCAAAACTGCCATTATAAATCTTGTAATTTCCTGTGAGATAGAAAACAGACAAGACAGTGGAAGGACAACAAACTAATAAACAGAGCACAGGAGCTCCTCAGAGATGTGTGTTTAGTCCTTTGATCATTCCTCTATGAAATGGACAGATGTTATGGAACAGTTAACATAAAATCGGTTTCGTCAACAGCTAGTAATCCAGTGCATATATTGTTACCTGTGAATTGTGTCAAGATAGTGTGTTGGTGAATAAGGACATTACATCTATAGATATACTATCCTGCTGGTTATCTATGCTGGTCCTGCTGTCCAGGACTGGGATGCCCCCCAGGTCCGGATGGACAGATCGACATCTGCGGCCAGTTTCTTGGATCTGCTGTGGGACTGACCTTTGAGGGAGATCCTTCCTGCCCACAACCATCAGCATCTATAGCAACTCTTTAATGAAACCAGGATGATGAGTCACAACATTTAATTTGCCTTTGGGATTAAAAAAGTATTATTGAACTGAATATTGTTTGCTCAAAGTCAGACTAATGCTGTAAAGATCTCCAAACTATATTATTTTCTTTAAATGTTCTCGCCACTTCCTGTTGTCTCACGCTCTCAGACATTCTGCCTGGACATTTCCCCGGAGCCATCAACATGCCGTTCACGACGTTCCTGGATCCCTCGGGGAAACATCTTGGAACTGAGGACCTGGCCAAGCTTTTCAAGGATGCCGGGGTGGACCTGACACGTCCTCTCTGGGCTTCCTGTGGTTCTGGAGTCACTGCGTGTCACATCATCCTGGCTGCTCATCGGCTCGGGCACCCGGGTGTTGCTCTTTACGATGGTTCCTGGGTTGAATGGTTTCAAAGGACGTCTCCAGAAAACATCATTTCAGAGGGAGAGGGAAAGAAGATATGACAGAAACAGCATTTAAAGAGTGAGCAATGTATTTTCTGAAAATAAAAGACAATAGTTAAAAAGATTAGCCTTAACCTGAGTTGTGTTTTTTATTTTTTTTTATTTATATGAATGTTATACATGTGATTAACTCAGCAGGGACAGGCGCAGGTGTCGTAAACTATTTCTAATTTTCGTCTGCACTATACAAAAATAGCTGCATTTATTTCAAAGATTCCCAGATTAAAACAGGCATATCATTATTAGCAGCAGTATGTTGATTGTTTTTAACTAACGCTGAATCATTTAAGAATAATTACGTGAAAAAGAACGAGACTACAGAGTCTTATGCTCTAAAAATATCCTTAATCTGTGGATCTATTTCAGTCTGCTAGGTTTTTTTTAGCTAATGTTTGTTATTAAACTAATACGTTAGAAAATACACAATTTATACAAAAAAAAATTATAGTTGTTTGGTAAAAGTTGAGTCATTTAGATATTTCCCCCCTTTTTTTACATGACGGTATACTTTTTTGGTCACAGCATTAAAACTGGCACTCATCCTTACATATATATTTCTGTTAAAATTATTTCATTATTGTTATTTAAAGAATGCACAAGCTTGTTTGTAAATAAAGCATGACACAGACGGTATGCAGAAAGATGAGCTGATGGAAAAGCAAATTATAAAAGGTAAAAGTTTGTGGTGAAATGGTTCAATAAAATGATTATTGACGAGCAACAGGTGCAGTTGCATCTGTCGCAAAAGTGTAACATTGAACAACTTTGTACAAGTGAACATCAGTTTTATATAGTTTAAGCCTTTCTGATTTTAAATAAAATTAATATTAAGACGTTTGTTGTGCTTTGTTTCTTCACATTTTTAATTAAGTTGCCATAATGTTTGAGTTGTACATAGATAAGTTGGAGATCTATAAAAATATCAATATTATTTCACATAGGACTGAAACTGTTTATAAATTTATTAAAGTCAGTTAAACAGCCACTTTGTGAAAACAGCTAAATTCATTTATCAAAATAAAATTACATTAAAAAGTATTGAATACATATGCTGGTAAATGCTGCGTCCTCTTTCTCACTCAAGGACTCAATGACTGTGGTGATTTATTATTTAACTTTGTTTTAATAATATCTCGTTTTCACTGTTAAATTTCCCTCCGCACATATTCGTCAACAAAGATGGCCGCTCATCCGTGACGTATGCCGAGGGCTGTCCTGTTCACTGCCTGAAGGCCCCCGCGAAACAAACAAATTGGGGTCCTTTTATCCTGAAGGCTAGCTAACATAAGGGTGTTCAGAGTCAAGCTGTTTTAAATAATCTTAAATCCCCCTCCCCAAAAAAGATACATCCCTTTAACTTTGATAATCTGCGATATAAAAACAGGAAGAGGTTTTGTTCGTTTTTACGCCCTAACTGATTTTGTTTTTTAACGTCGACGGGTTTTTTTTTTTCACCAGTCGCTGTCTGAGCGGAGCTAACGCTAGCCGACAAGCTTTTCCTGATAACAGCAGAATCCTCATTGCGGTATTTATTAGCCCCAAAATACAATTGGTTAGTTTAAGTTTAATATGATTTAACAAAAACACAGCTGTAATACGTCCTTTAGTGCTCTGTTTTTTTTCTGGCAGTTTCTGTTCTGTGAGGAGTAAAGAAGAAGCTAACTCGGCTAAATTATTAATGATTTCTGGCTGTCTTGCAATGCTAGCAGTTTAACCAATCTGTATAACTGAGGCAGTAGAAGTAAGCTTGGCCATGTGCTTAATTTGTGTACAACTAGACAAAAATGGCTCAGTTTTGATTTGTTTTTCCACAGGGAGGCGTTGATGAGCAGCTATGTCTGGTATTGCTCTTAGCAGACTGTCTCAGGAGCGCAAAGCCTGGAGGAAAGACCATCCTTTTGTGAGCACATGCATCATATCAGCACTATGTCCTGCTACACAGACATGGTGATATATTTCCTTCATGGCACCGAGTGCCACCTGACGACTTGTGTTTGTAATCCTTGCAGGGTTTTGTTGCTGTACCTACTAAGAATCCAGATGGAACCATGAATCTGATGAACTGGGAGTGTGCCATCCCTGGGAAGAAAGGAGTAGGTCACCATCTAGCACACTGGATCCCAAAGCTGCCGTTGGGACCTCACTATGGGTCACAAACATGAAGTCAGGGCTCATGAGATGCTCTCCAGAAAAAAAATTACAATAATAACAGCCAATAGCACATTTTTTTATTTTATAAAGTGAAAAATTGGTTAGTGAGCACATGCCTTTTTAATTTTAGAAGTTTTTCCTTCATCTTTGAAACACCTAATCCAGCTGTTCTCATTTTTGCCTTAAATGTTACAAGACAAAACATTAAAAAGATGAAAATAGTAAATTCAAATCATTATGCTCTTGTTTATCGTTTGCACATTGTAGCCATTAATAGTAAGGGTCACGAGTCAACCCTCTGATATTTTGTGGGTTGTATAAATTAAAAGGTTTGGGAAAAACTGATCGAGCGCCACTATTCTGGTTTCAAATGATGCCAAAGTAGTTTTTATTGTGAAACATCATAGAGGCATTGGGAAGTGTACTAATAACAACGTAAAGCTCCTTTTAAAAGCTTTCATTTAAATAACTACCTGATTTTTTTAATTTTATGTTTTACTTTTGAGTTTCACGCAAAAGTGTTGGCTCCTGTTAACCATACATTAAATAAAATTTTCTGGTATTTTGAGCAAATTTCTAGTAAATATTTATACTTGGACATTAAAACAACTGTAATAATGGTCAATCAGGTCATCTGGACAGTTTATTTTTTGTGGAAGAAACTGTCCAGATGACCTGATTGACCATTATTGGATTTCGTACCTGAATGACTGAGCATGAACTTTGATAAAACAACTGTATTGTGTTAGCGGACTAAAAAATGTAAACTTTAGTTCTAGGATGGTTCATAGTTTTGTAAAAATAAAAGTGCATTAGTATTTTAAGGTAAAGGTTGAATATTATGTGTATATAGGTAGGAAATGTTTGAAAAGCACACATTGCTATCGTTGGGTAAAACGTTGTATTTATGAGTAAATCTTTACTGTCTGAAAAATTTAAGTCAAAGTCATGAGCAGTTCCTTTTATTTCAGCTAACCTGAAAATATTTATCTACAAATGCAAAAAATACAAAGTTCTAATCAAATAACCAGGTCAGTCAGTCATGACTGATAGTTTTATTATTTCACTTATTCTTTTGGCTTAATTTGCTTAAGCATTTACTCCAATGTTGTTATTATTATTAAAATGATTTTGTTCATTTGTTTTTAGACTCCATAACAAGTGAGAATCAGAACTGAAATTATTGTCTGCTTTTGAATAATGTACGTTCTCAGAGCGTTCTCTTTGTTTCCCCTTTCATTCATCAGACCTTATGGGAGGGGGGCCTGTATAAACTCAGAATGCTGTTTAAAGACGACTACCCTTCCTCCCCGCCCAAATGTGAGTACCGCTCGTTTATTTCAAAGACTGTGTAGCTTTCTGTTCAGAACAGAGGCAGGGTTGTCCAGAAAATCATCATTATGCTCTCAAGTCTCTGTCACGTTTAGCTTTAACCTTCACTGTTTAATTCTAAAATATCACTTTTAAAATCTCCGTACTGCCGTTTATGTAAATAGATTTACTGTGAATGTTGTTTGCATCACCACATGGGGTTTATGGGAAATAAAATAATTTTAAGACTGTCCAGAGGTTTTAGAGTTGACATGGGAAAGTGTAAATATTAGTTTCTCTGTGAAGTCCTTGTGTTACGTTGCCTTTAATCTTTTAAGATGTATCACATGCATGTCTGATTCTGTGTCTTTGCATGGATACAGGGCGTCTTTTAGAATCAAAATGTGAATCATTCTACCGTAAAAATTTAGATCAGTTAATAATTACGGTTGGCGATTATTGACGTTGGCAGATACACGCAAGGAAAAAAAAATCCTGCGCTTTTCTAGTAGAATTGCACAAGTTTTCCAAGACTGCTCTCACAGGTCCTCTTGTGTTTTAGAGACATTGTGTGATTCACTTATTGATGACTGGGTAATGATGGATTTCTATCATACTCGCATAGATTTTTGTTGCCATGTAGTTTTCTTCCAGGGTTTTATATTGACTTTTTTATTTTCCTGAATGTTTCCACTCAGGCAAGTTTGAGCCACCTATATTCCACCCGAACGTCTACCCATCAGGCACGGTGTGTTTGTCCATCCTGGAGGAGGACAAAGACTGGAGACCTGCCATCACCATCAAACAGGTCTGATTTATTTCTGTCACGTAGTTCAGGGTTCCTGCTGTTCAAAAAGTTTGGAACTCATTTATTGTTTTTATTTTTCACATCTAAATAAGTATGGAAAAAAAAAACGTTTGTTTCCTGATTTTACTCCTTGTTTCATTTTCTATATCGTATGAAATTGAATTTCTAAAAAAATACTCATGTTTTCTATTTATCTTTAACAAAATGGGCAAAGGGATCATTTTAAAGTCACATTATAAAACAATTTGTGAACCAAGCTAAGCTTAAGTACGTGCTTTACAAATGTATGATTTTTACCATATATGTAGCTAGACCTGTCGCAATAAACAATAAATCAATTAATCACATGATAAATGGAAATTATCGACCTCATTTTCATTTATCGGTTTTATCGTTTCTTCATGTCTCTCTCTTTCTACTGGAGACACTGGCGTTTTCGGATCATTAAAAGCAGCTAAGCTGAGAAGCTAAACTACGAGTTAAGCTAACAGTCGACCTCTGGGGAAAAAAGTTTGTCTTGTCGAAGCTACAAAATTCACTGTTAAAACCCGTGCCTTCGTGTAAAAATGTGTTTTTCTCTGCAAAAAAAAGCTGAGAACTTAACTGATTTATTTATTTATTTTTATTAAAAGCTTTGTGTGGAAAATGCTATGCTAAAGAGTTCAAACCACATAGATCGTTCGTCATTTTGAGAACCGGAGAGAGACAGCCCATGTCACGTCAAGGGGCCTCCCTCTCATTTTTCTTAGAGACTCTGCTTGCGCCCTCACTATCCATCCTTCGGTTCAAACAGTCTTGTACTGCCATCCAGTGGTCCAACAGAGGTACTACACTCAAAACAAATGAAACATTTCTTCTTAAATTTGGCAATAATTACTAATTATTGTCAAATTTCAAACAATATTATCGTTTATCGCAATAATTTGTGTGACAATCACCCGGCAAAATTTGTTATCGTGACAGTGTAGTGTACAGTTGTCCCTCGTTATATCACGGTTCACTTATTGCAGCTTCACTGTATCGCATTTTAAATTTTATTTAAATACATTAGTCCCTCAGTTATCTTGCAGGTTTTGTTCCAAGCACGACCACGATAGGTGAAAAACCACAACTATACACTATATATTTATTTTTTGTATTTATATATATTTTAAGACTTTACAAACCTTTCCCACACTCTTACAATGATCTAAACTCTTAAACCTACATCATTTTAACAACATACTTATATGTACTGTACAGTGCTGCAGAATTTTACTCACCAGCCCTGCAGACCAGCTGCTTGTTTCTGGTTGGGCTCGGGTCCGGTCCTGCAGACCTACCCTGCAGCATGAAGCCCACCGCCCCGTCCATGTTGATGTGCACGTGGATAATTGAGCTTCGGGATTATTTGTGACTTTCCTGCCAGTTCTATGAGCTTCATAGATAGATCGTTACTTCTGACTGCGTTGCAAAACTTTCCCTCCATTTCAACAGAAAGCAGTGGCCGGGAGCACTGTTGGCTTCTGGGTAGTGTAGTTCTTTTGACATGCGTTACAGTGTAAGCTTATTGAAAGAAAACTACAAAATGGTGGTGCCTGTCCAAAGTACATTTGGTTCGGTTTCTCTTCTAGTGTTTGCTACCTCCATAGACGAGTGTCCAACGATTACTTCCTGAGTTTCCATCCAGACGGTAATGATGTATTTTGCTAAAAGTTTGGAAAAAATCTTTTCTTTTTTTTTTTTTTCCCCATTCTTCATTAGATCCTTTTGGGTATTCAGGAGCTGCTGAACGAGCCCAACATTCAGGACCCGGCACAAGCAGAGGCCTACACAATTTACTGGTGGGTCGACACGAGAACCTGCCGGACGGCCGTCAGCTGAGCCTGCAGTTCAAACGATCTCATCTTTGTGTTTTTATACGTTTCAGTCAGAACAGGATGGACTACGAGAAGCGGGTCAGAGCTCAAGCCAAGAAGTTTGCCCCCACATAAAAGGGAGAGGCCCCACCTCTCCCACCTGAGCAGCCTGAAGGGATGATGGTAACACACAGGAGGCAGGCAGCACCTGAAGGACCACTCCAATAAGAATGATTATTATTTCATATTATTATAGTACTGCTCCACAGATGACAGACGAGCCTGGTTTTCTTTATTCTTTTCAAACTAAATTAGAATTATCCATATTTTACCCATCATTAAGACTCGTTTCAGATTTTGTATCTCATGTATAATCCATACCCCGAACAATAAACAATCACACGTAGTGTGTTGACCGCTGTACAGAGAAGACCACATGTCCAAACCAGTTTGAAGCTCAATCGACCGGAACTCCTTCCAGTCTTTACGACACGAAGAAACGCCACGGTTTTGTTTCCACGAGCGTGCCTGCAGGCTGACGACGCCGTCACAAAGCACAACGGACGCAGGTTCTGTCTATTATCATCTGAGGTTGAAAAAAAAAAAAGGTACGTCAAAGACGATTCAGCACTTTGGTTGGGAAGCAGATGGAAACAGCTCTTCATCTGAAGAAGAGTCCGATCTGCTCCATCCACTCATCTTTGAAGGTAGATTCGTTCAGACTGTCCGGACAGTACCGACCCTTCGTTATCCACGTGTTGTCTTCTTCCAGTGATGCTGTAGGATCACGAGATAATGAACAGAAGGAAATGGGCCCTTTGAACCCAAACTGCTTCCTCTAACGAACGTACTGATCCGAGGACGGGTCCAGCTGCTCGCAGCAGAGGACCATCTTAAAACAGCTAAATGAGACGGGTGCACTCGAGCGGTAGGATGAAGTTTTTGTCACTCAGAAGAACAAAATAAACAATTCATGAAGATTTTTTTTCATGTTTGTTTCCAGATTAACGTCAAACTATTGAGATTAAAATTAAAATGTATTTAAAGGATAAAGTCAGGCCGGAGGATATTTTTATTTTTTCAGGTATAAACTCGGACTGAAACTTCCGCTCCTAGGAGCTGAAGTAAGTTACGGGTTGTGAGCTTCTTCAGAAACAGTATTGATACTTATTACCACGTCGTGTTTATGTGCAAAAATAATGTTTTACTAGTCAACCCTTTGTGAAGTATAAAAACTTTATTTACACGAGGCTCAGCTGTCCAAGATTTTTGCTGGGTTTTATCTCCCCCTTTTTTTAATGTCAAAATAACTGCTATCATCATTTGACTTTATTCTAGAAATATATTTAAATTTTATGAAACGTTTTGACTTTAATCTTGACAATACGACTGTGATCTCCAAACTACAAATTAAAAAAGAAATGATCCAAGTGTCACTAAGACTTGGTCGTACAGCGTACATGAAGGCCAGGGGTTACGTTGTTTTTGGGTTTTTTGCCTCTAAATCTGAGCACATGTACATAATATAAATAAGAAAACCGTAGATGTAATGTTTTATATTGTTTTAGCCGCTTGACATTGTGTGTGGTATTGTAACAAAAAACATTTGATGGTCTAAACTTGTGAAATAAAGTCGAATAAAACCAAAGAAGGTGAGAAAGTGAGTTGGGATTTCATTAGTTTCAGATCATTTTTTGTAGTTTTTTAAATTTTTATTCTGTAAATGTTTCTTAATCTTTCTCACTATTGAGATCCTTTTTTTTTTTTTTTTTTTTTCCTGTACATTTTTCGGCGCGTAACTTGTTCTACAACTTTTGTTATGTATCAATTTGTTCAGCTCATTCAGGACATTCCTGCTGCTCTTCTGCATTTGGTTTTTACCATTTAATATATTTAGCTTTGTCGGCCATGTTTTTCTAATTGAAAATCAATGGAGCTCTCCCCATCCTTCAAAATCTTCGCTGTTTAACCCCTTTTATTGATCGGTTCAGCTTGTTTAAGCTAAATTCAGCTTTTTTAAATTGTTTTTTCTGATTTTCCAACTGCTTTTTAGGTATTTATCAGCTACTTTTAGCTACCCTTCAGACTGACAAGCTGATGATGGCTGTCTGGGTGAATCTATGTTTGAAGTGAATTTCCAGGTCTTAAAAATGTTTGTAGTTTTTTGTAATTTTGTAAAATTTCTTATTAATCCTGTAATTGGGAAACTAACTGCTGGGACACTTTGGAGACTGAAGCTGTTTTAAGCCGTTTGAGTCATGTTTAAAAAAGCTCGGACAGAATAAAACCTGTTTCTCCAACCTGAGCTCGCTCAAAGAGCCATCTACAGCAGGTAAGATATTAATTGCCAACAACATTTTCACTAAACCACTTTAAAGATCCCTTTCATACGTTATGAGTATGTTAGGCCTATAGGCTATAAATCTCAAGGTGTTTTGAAGGAAAGTGTAAAGGTGGAAGAAATTAAAATTTTCTTTTGAGTTCTTTACATATTTTTTCACTCGTTGCAGAAGGTGAAACCTGATGTAATGCTCTCTGGTGTCTTGCATGATATTCTGAAGAAAAGTAACACCTTTTCACACCTGTTGTTTCTGCCTCACCTCTCCGCCTGTTCGTCTTCTCAGTGCAACCTCACTGGACCAAAACAGAACCAGTAAAGGGAGGTGAGAACTGTTTTCCTTCTGTTGCAGCGAGGTGTGAGTAGTTTTGGTTGTTGTGGGCGAGTTTATTTTGTAACCCCGTGCACAGCCAGATGTTTGTGTTGCTGGTGATTAATCCTGCAGCACGAGAACTAGCAGAGCTAATCCGCTGTCTTCGTAGTAACATGTTCCCAGTTCTGATCAATAAAATCCAGTTTCTGTTTCGCTCCTCGCTCTGCTTACAGTGGTTTTGTTCAAAGCAAACTGGTCTCGGAGCAGGAAAAACTTCATCAGACCTTATGTTAGGGAATTTTTGGTCAAATGCTATGGATGTTTTTGTTACTACTCTGTGACAGCATGGCTTTGTGTTAGTTTAATAAAATAATGACAATGGCTGTATGAAAATACAGGTACAGCTAAAACAAACTGGCCTTGACAAGAAGGATTGGACTCGTAAAAATGATAAATAAAAGTTGACCATGGAGACATGTTGGTGTCCCCAGCATCACTGTCTGCATGTTGACCGTCCTCTGTTTTGTCAGTGTTTAGTTCTGCTGCTTGTCTAACAAGCAGGTCCTCTGGACAGGTTCTTGTTTAGAGGACCAGACTCAACCTTGTTGGATTATTGCGTTCTGCTCCTTGTTTTAATTTGTTCAGTCCACTGTGCCACCTGCTACTTCTCTGTCTGCCATTATTTTTCCAGTCAGCCTGTTATCTCCACATGTCCCCTGTTTCACCAGTCACAGCTGCAGCCGCTCCACTCATCAGTCCCAGTCCTTGTAGTCCCTCATCTCTCCTCACACACCAGCTGAGCACTTTTTGGCTGCCATGTCACCTCTGGTTTCCCACTGTGCCTCCCTGTATCTCCATGCCTCCTTGTGTTGATTCTCATTTTGGAGAGTTGTGCTGCACATCATCCTCGTTTTATTATGAGTTAACTTTTGTTTTGGAGCATTTCAATTAAGTCTGCTTTCCTGGGTTCAGTTTATCCACAACCCTGATGGTCAGCGGTGTCTTTAATCTTGTAATTAGTCAGTCTGCTTGTAGTCATTGTGCTGCTTGGTGTCATGGTGTGTACCACACTGAACTTGGACCACAGAAGGTAAGGAGAGAGTTGCCTCAGGAGCTTAGAAGTAAAATGATTGATAATCATGTTAAAGGTAAAGACCAGTGATGGGAACAGCTAACCAAAAAGTGAGCTCCACTAACCCATAATACGCTAACTATTGATTTACCTCATTTTGTATTTTGCTTGGTGTGTTACCTGTTGTTTTTGTCTGTACAGCACTTTGTTTGGCCTTGTAGCTGTTTTAAGTGCTTTATAAATAAAGTGGTATGGTAACTAAAAAAATGCTAGCTGCTGCTCCGTCGACCAATCGCGTCTTGTTACGTGGATGTGTAGTCAGCCAGTAGTGTGCCCAATGAACTCTTAGAGACATGCCCACAACAGAAGGAACAAACTGGGATTTTGTTAGTGACCTTGAAATTAGCTGAACATATCCAACAATTTTCAGTCAGGTCATCTGGACAGTTTTTTTGAGCTGAAACATTTCTCCTTCCATCCAGAAGGCTTCTTCAGTCAAGGAAATGCACAACACAAAACTGATTCTTCCCCCAAACAGCTTACTCCAAAGTGGAACAAACCAGTTATGTTGGTGCAAGATGGTGTCTTTGGCACGGCCCCTCCTTCGGTGCTGGCCCTCTCCCTCGTCGACAGTCATGTCAAACTGGTTCAAAACCAACAAAGTCCATGCTCAATAATCCAAGTATACAATCCAACAATTTTCAGTCAGGTCATCTGGACAGTTTCTTTTTTGTGTGCTGAAATGTCTCACCTTCCATCCAGAAGGCTTCATCAATGCCACTTCATCTGATGAAGCCTTCTGGATGGAAGGTGAAATGTTTCAGTACCAAAAAAAAAAAATGTCCACTTGACCTGACTGAAAATTGTTGGATTTTATACCTGGATTATTGAGCATGAACTTTGTTGGTTAGCTGAACCTAATTTAGTGGAAGCGAATTGATCTGTTTTCAAAGTTAGCAAAAAATGCTAATTGCTAAACGAAAAGTTAGCTGTTAGCGGATTAGCGGAACCGTGCCCACCACTGGTAAAGTATAAGACCATTTCCACGCAGCTTGATGCTCCTGTAACTACTCTGCACAGATTATTCAGAAGATTAATAATAATAATAAAACATTTTATTTGTATAGAGCTTTTCTAAATACTCAGACGCTTTACATGAGTTAAAAATCTAATAAAATCAACAATGCATAACACATAAAAACATAGTAAAACATTTAAAAGATAAATTTTAAACGGTAAAAGCAATTTTAAACAGGTGTGTTTTGAGTTCTTAAAAGTGGAGCGATTGGAGCAGACACAAAGCTGTTGGGGCAGTGAGTTCCAGAAGGTGGGGGTAGTGATGGAGAAGGCTCTGTCTCCCCAGGTTCAGAGCTTGGTCCTACAGGGGAGAGACAGAAGGTTGGCAACCTCCCTGGACATGTCCACAAAAGATAAATTGATGACAAATTGAAGAGACAGATGATATAAAACCCAAAGAGCTAAGAACAACTTCCAAAGAGGTCAGAGGTGAATAAGGTACATCATGGTACCTGGAGAGATTACTCCAGATTTGGAGAATTCTTGGTGCAAATCATCCTCAAAAAATGTACACGTTTGGTTAAACATTTGGCTAGAAGACAAACACGGTGGCAGTTCTGCCATGGTTTGGGGCTGCACTAGTTGTGTTAGTGATCTTGTGTACATGGATGCTATTATAAACAAAGTATTTTTACTGTGACTTTCTAATCTAGTTTATTAGAACTGTGTGTATTTTAGTTTTGCATATTCTGAATCAGAATGAGCTTTATTATCATTGCACCAAGATACAATGAGAATATGTCCGTACAGTCATCTGAAAGATGGGTGGGGTGCACGTAGCTGCTGCTATAAAGCGCGGCCTTCTTATCCTTTACAGAATACATTTTTTAGATAAAAAAGGAACAAAGCCATGAGAAGAGGATAGTGGCATTACAACAAAAGATCTCTTTATACCATGTCCTATCAGGACTTGATTGAAGACATCAAAAAACTCTGCCAGCAGCACATTTATGAACCCGTTACATTAGCATTTAACTACGAGGCGGTCCATGAAGTACTAACAGATAGTCCATTGTCCTGATGAGATGGTGGTCAGCCGGCACAATTCTGCTAAGCCTCCACGGGAGAGTTGCGATAGATGAAGCTTTTCCTTAGTTTACACATTTCCCAGGAGAAATTGATATGGCAGCCTGTTTCGAGGCCAACCGGGGAGTCGGAGTCAGATAATCCATAATTGTTGATTTATTCAGGCAGACTATTTTCCTTGTCAGCCTTTTAATCTTTACTGATACTTCCAAGGTCTGAAAGGGCCAGATTAGGGTGCATTCTACTGGTCTGTGCTTACAAGCCTCTTCAAGGTTGTTTTCATGCTGACGAGTCCCAAAACCGCAGGTGGCCTACGATTCAAATCACTTCCACCTTACGGTTTAGCTCGTAAATCAGCTGATTTTGAGTCCTCAAAGCACGAACCAAACCTTCACATAGGCAGCAGCCTGACGAGGCCAGATTAGCTGCCACCATCTTCTTTGTATGTTGATAAACCAGGATCCAGACTATTCCAAACACAGGAAACCTGTTATCATAAATCCAATTATGTTATTAGTGTATTATAGGGGGAGTGGTGGCACAGAGGTTAGAAGATGGGCTTGTGATCGGAAAGTCGCAGGTTCAACTTCCGGTGCCGTCAACATCAAAATGTGGGTGGAAAAGGTGGAACACCCACACCTCCCTCCACCCTCATTCGCCCCACTCTGGGCCCCCGAGCAAGGCCCTTAACCCCCACCATCTGCTCCCTAAACAGGTCTCTCTTGAAAATGAGTTCTTGTGGTTCAATGAGACTACCTGGATAAATAAAGGGTAAATGAAAAAAAAAAGCATTTCGGCGTCCTCGATCTATAGGAGAGGTAGACA